AAATAGGCTATATTGCGACGGAATACTTACGACGGACATGTTTTTCCGTCAGTAAGGTGGATATTTCGACGGAAAACATTTCGTCGCAATTTAGCGACGGAAAATTTCAATTACGAGGCATTTTTCCTCGTAAATTTTACGACGGAAATAAATTCCTTCGTGATTATAAACTTACAACGGAATATTCCATCGCAAATTACTTTACGACGGAATATTCCGTCGTAAGTTTATAATTACGACGGAATTTATTTCCGTCGTAAAAGTCATTGTCATATTTTGAAATTAAAATTGTATCCTTGACCTAAAAAAAAGGGGGAAAGAAACGCAGAGAGAGAAAGAGAAGCAGCGGCAGGAGAGAGAGAGAGAGAGAGAAGGAGAGAGAAGAAAGAACGAGGCGGCGCTTAACCGTTACGCCGGCGACGCACACCAGCCGCCCTGGTGGTTTCCGGCGACGCCCTGGTGAACGAAAGAGAAGGAGAGAGAAAGAGAGTGGGTAGAGAAGTCGCCGCACGTTTCTGCCGCCGTCGGTGACCCAAACCTCAGCCCTCCGTCACGCAACTGCCGTCGTCGGTGACCCAAACGGAGCCGACATTGTTAGAGAGATAGAGGTCGAGAAGGAGAAAGAAAAATCGGACGAGAAGGAGAAAGAGGGCGACTGAAGGGGCGGCTTGTGTCCGTCGTCGAGCCTCCGGCGCCACCTTACCAGGTCAGTGTACACCTTTTTTTTGGTTTTTGTTTTTTTTTTTCATTCGAATCTGACTTTTTTTGCTTTGACCACCACAACCGCAGCCTCCGACCTCCGACCTCCTCCCTTCCCTCGCCGTGGATGGTTGTTGTTGCCGGCGCCGCGCCAAGGTCAGTTTCCCCCACTTTTTTTTTAATTTTTTTTTGTTAAATAATAAACCCTTATTTATTTAATTTATTTTTTAAAATATTTTGTAGGATTTGTACAATTAGATTGTTTAATTGTCAAAAAGAAGTGTAGATCTAAAGGTTAGTCACATTACAAACTCTAATATTTTGTATGTATGTTACTTTGGTTTGGTTTTGTTTAACATAACTTAGTTAAGTTAAGTTTTTTCTAATATAATGTGTTTTAGTTTAGTTTAGTTTACTTTTTTTTTTGTAAGTTTGTTAGTTTAGTTTAGTTTACTTTTTTGTAAGTATGTTAGTTTAGTTAAGGTTTTTTTTTTTTTTTTTTTAATATAATGTGGTTTAATTTAGTTTAGTTTTACTAAAGTATATTAGATTAGTTTAATATTATGAAACTTTAGTTTAGTTTATTTTAATATAATGTGGTTAAATTTAGTTTTTTTTTACTAAAGTATATTAGATTAGTTTAATATTATGAAACTTTAGGTACGTTTTGTTTGTTTTGTTTAATATGATGTATGTTAGATTACTTTAGTTCATTATAATCTAGTTTAGTTTTGTTTAGTTTAATATAATGTTTCTTACTTAAGTTTATTTTTTTATAATGCATGTTACTATATTTAATATTATGATATGTTAGTTTAGTTTTGTTTTGTTTGGTTTGATTTGTTTATATTAATGTTATGGTTTTATGATATGTTTGTTTATGTTAAGTTTAATTATGATATATTTGTATAATTTTTTGTATGTTAGTTTAGTTTTAATATCTTTAAAAAAATCATTTGCATAATCATATGCCTAGATACCCGTTCAAGGCATACACATTAGGAGTATGTCTTGAATAGTCCCCGGTTGGGACTGTCCTTGTACGTTTATTCTCACTTAGATGGTGAATGTATTCCTTTGTTTTAATTCTAAGGAAGATCCTTGCTTGTCATTTCTCTACAATGTTCTCTAGGTACATATATAGGTGTTTCTAATCGCCTATATTGTGTACTTGGGGAACTGTAGGGAGATGCTACCGGATTTTCCATAGAATTGAAATTCTGGCATACATTCACTAGTGAGATTGAACGTACAAGGATGGGTTAGGTTGGAGTGATAAGGACCCTTGGAAATCATTTCTCTTCTCATTTGCATTTCCATAACAGTTTGATCTATAATGAATATATATTGTGCTTTATGACTAATGTGATTAATGGCATATGTGTTAGTTGTATAGAACTTGTAATCATGAAACGAAAAGAACGTAGCTGGATGTACGAAAGGAAGGTTGGGAATTCTATTAATCCTGAGTTCTTGAAGGGGGTAAATGAATTCCTTAAATATGTGGAAGATCATCCCGAGAGTAGCAACCCGAATGAAGTTAGGTTTCCATGTTTTAAATGCAAAAACAAACGTCTTTGGGATCCAGATACGGTCAAACTTCATTTGTATCGCAACGGTTTTTTACCTAATTACTATGAGTGGATGTGTCATGGGGAAGGGTTTCCAGGAACTCGTAGAAGGCAGTCAAATGAATATCGTGAAATGGTTTTGGATGCCTTTAGTCAGTCTCAAGATCAAGGCCATTCCGAAGAGCCACCTGTTTCATTAGAGGAGGAGCCTAATGCACAAGCCAAGCCATTTTTTGATTTGTTAAGGGCTTCTAAACAACCGTTATATGAAGGGAGTTCATTGTCTGCGTTAAAGATGGATTCTAGAATCACTAGCCTAAAGTGTGAGTATAATTTGCCGCACATATGTGTTGATGGATTTGCTTCTTTGGTTAATGAAGCGATTCCTAACAACAACCACATGGCCGAGACATTCTATGAGGTCAAGAAAATTGTTAAGGGGTTAGAGCTGCCCCATGAAAATATTCATGCATGCCCGAAAGGATGTATGTTGTTTTGGAAAGATGATGCTCAATTATCTACATGTAGGGTGTGTGGAAGCGACCGATACAAGAAGACTTCTAAAGGTAGCTTAGTGCCTTTGAATGTTCTATTTTATTTCCCTATCACACCTAGGTTGCAAAGGCTTTTTTCAACTAAAAACATTTCTGAGGAAATGACATGGCATGCTAAAAATCCTCGAGTTCAAGGCACAATGGCACACCCTAGCGATAGTGAAGCGTGGAAACACCTAGATAGTTGCTTTCCTGAGTTTGCCTCTGAACCTCGTAATGTTCGACTTGGCCTATGTACGGATGGATTTGCTCCACATGGTCAGTTTGGGGGACAGTATTCATGTTGGCCTGTCATTTTGACCCCTTATAACTTGCCTCCGTCAATGTGCATGAAAAGACAGTTCATATTTCTTTCGTTACTCGTTCCTGGTCCTAAAAACCCTAAGGGCAACTTGGATGTTTAAATGCAACCGCTCATACACGAGTTGAAACAGTTGTGGGAAGTTAGGGAAAATACTTACGATATTTCGAGAAAACAAAATTTCAATCTTCGAGCAGCCATCCTATGGATCGTTAGTGACTTCCCGGCTTATGGTATGTTATCTAGTTGGACCACAGCCGGTAAGAAGGCTTATCCATATTGCATAAAGAAAAGCAAATCATTTTGGCTCAAAAATGGTGGTAAGGTTTCTTGGTTTGATTGCCATCGTCAATTCCTTCCGATAAACCATCCTTTTCGAAATAGTAAAAATGCATTTTGTAAAAACAAAGTCGAAAAAGGTTCACCACCTCACATCATGTCAGGAGAGGAACTTTGGGAATGTGTGAAAAACCTCCTGAAAGCAACAGATGGCCCCGAGGCACTGAAACGTCTCAAGAATGAAAAAAAAGGATGGTTCAAGCAAAGCACTCTATGGGACCTTCCATATTGGAAACATCTGCTTGTTCGTCACAACTTAGATGTCATGCACGTTGAAAAAAAACGTTTTTGATCAGTTGATTCACACTATAATGGACGTGAAAAAGCTATCTTGTGACACGCCATCAGCTCGGAATGACATTGCTAAATACTGTAAACGGCCCCAGCTACATCTTCAAGAGGATGATAGAGGAAAAGAATTCATGCCAAAGGCTCCATTTGCTCTTGACAAGGCTTAGAGAAAGGTTTTGTGTGACTGGGTCAAACAGCTGCGGTTTCCTGATGGTTACGCTTCCAATTTGAGCCGATGCGTTGATTTGCAATCAGGTAAGTTACATGGAATGAAAAGTCATGATTGTCACGTGTTCATGGAGAGGTTGCTGCCCACTGCTTTGAGAGAATTGCTCCCTACCCATATATGGAATACAATTACAAAGATAAGCCAATTCTTTCGCGATTTATGTTGCTACACAATTACTGTTAGCGACAAGGAGCGATTGGAAAAAAACATAGCTGAGATCTTGTGCGAGCTTGAGAAGGTTTTCCCCCCATCTTTCTTCAACTCCATGGAGCATTTACCAATTCATTTTCCATATGAGGGCAAGTTATGTGGACCTGTTCAATATCGGTGGATGTATCCTTTCGAAAGGTAAATCAAAGGTCCTTTCTCAACTCTTACTTTCATCTCTTTCATTGCTTTTCGTTACTTAAGCTTCTACGGCTACATAAACATAATTACAGGTTCCTCAATCACCTGAAACAAAAAATTGGTAATAAGGCTCGCGTTGAAGGTTCCATATGCAACGCTTATCTCACTGAAGAGATATCAAACTTCTGCTCTAATTACTTTCAGCCCTCAGTTGACACAAAAACACGAGATCTAGGTCGAAATGTGAATGCTGATGTGGAATCCCCGGCTGACAACGATGAAATCCCAGAGATGTTCACGGTGGATAAGGGTCGTGTGTCAAATTTGGGTAAAACTCGGTATTTAGATGACAAGGAACTCGAATGTGCTCATTTGTTCGTTTTAAGAAATACCGGCATTCTTGGTGAATACGAAAGGTATATATGTTTAGGATAAACTTTTGAAAATCCCTTAAATTTAATATAATTGCTGGAATGATTAACCATGTGTCATTAATCTATTAGGCAGTTTGAGGACTACATTCTTAGTACTCGAACTTATTTGCGTCGAGAAGATGTCATGGAGAAATGCGAAAGTGAATTCCCTGATTGGATTCATCACAAGGTGATAATACTTTTCGAACATTGCATATCGATTAATTTGTGATAATATAATATAATATATTTCATTTCAATTAGTGTGACGCTTGTATTCGTAACGGTTATAGGTGAGAGAACAAAAACCAAGTTCCGATGTGTTGCGAGCATTGTCTATGAGGCCTTTCAAGCGTGTTCGGACTTGGAACCAGATATTTGTCGGTGGCTTTAATTTCCACACACAGTCCTATGGCAAACACAAATCTACGATGAATTACGGGGTGTGTGTCTCAAGTGAGGACGGTGGAGAGTACTTTGGCATTTTAAACAACATAATTGAACTTGTCTACACCGGTCCCGAAAAAGAGTACAAGACTATTTTGTTTAGTTGTAGTTGGATGGATTGTGGTAAAGGAATGAACATTCATGAACAATACAAGCTTGTCGAAGTAAATCATACTAAGAAGTATCCCAAGTATGATCCATTTGTCTTATCTTACTAAGTGTCTCAAGTGTATTATGCATCTTACCCTAGCCTTAAACGTGATCGGGTTCAATGGTGGGCTGTATTTAGAACTCAAGCAAGGTCGGTGATTGATGCTCCGGTGGATTTAGAGTTTTTGCAGGGTCCTTCACCACAAGTACATGCAACGCTTTGTCCACCAAATGACATTCCAGACTATGAACTTGATAGTGATGATGATGATGACGATGGCTTTATTATCTCAAGCGATGAAGAAGAAGAAGAAAGCATTGGCTCCAGTGACAGTGACGAAGAAGAGGACATCGATGTATTTTTAGATGACACTAGTGATAGTAATAATGATAGTGGTAGTAGTGATAAGAGTAATGAAGAGGAGAATATGTAGTTACTCCTTTAACTATTGTCTTCGAATGTTTAGTTTTTAATGACTACTCGGACTTGTAATATTGCATTACATTTTTGGTGTCATTTTTTTATTTTAATGTCTTATGGATCTAATTTATGAATTTACAATGTGCGATCATGGTACTAACAACTTTTTCAGGTGGTCATCATGGGAGGAGGAAATAAAGGAGAAACGTCCAGGAGGAGAAAGACTAAGGGGAAATCTGAGGTTGTACGTGTTGACGAGGATGAGTCAATGGAGGAAGAGGAGGCACATGATTTGGGGGCCTCTCAAGAAATCGTTAATCGGAGACAGATTCCTAGGCATGTACAAGGGCAACAGGAGCAACAGGAACAAGAGCTACAGGACCCGCATCCTAATGACTTGCTAGAGTTGGACCCTTCCACACTTTGGTGCGTATGTATTTGTATAATGAAATATCCTTAAATTCGTATTTACTTTGATAAAGTGAATTTGTATTACTTTAACCATGTTTTGTTCACTTTTTGTTGATTATCTACTTACATGAATGTCTATCCTTTATTATAGGTTTGATGATATCCCGGTGAAGAATGTGTTCTCCGACTCGCTAACCGGCTACTATGTTGAGCCTTGGAGGAATTATGGAGAGGTTGATGAAGATTCGAGAGAGCACTTTTGGAACTTGTTCAACGTATGATAACTTTAACCTAACATAATACATGTTTTATAAATTATATTAATGGAGTTGAATTTTGTAATAAAGACATTTTCTTGATTTGCAGAAAAAATTCAAGTGGGCACCTAAGTTAAACAACCAAGTGAAGGACACTTTCGAAGAAAAGTTTGCAAATCGCCTACGTGACACGTTCTACAACATCACACACAGGCTGAATGGTCGCAGACCAAGATGGCTTAATAAGGATGTCCACGAAGGCATGATGCAAATTGTTGCCACCGATCCAGAATATAAGAAGCGGTCGGAACAAAACAAGAAGCGGATCCATGGAAAATGTCGTTGAACCGACCCACTTTCAAGGTTCAATGTCATCTGTACAACATGCTAAAAGGATGGTAAGGTTCCTACAATATGTCCAGTAACAATTAAGTCATTTATCTATTAATGAATTTTGGTGGGCTAACATGTTTTCATTCATTTTCTGCATGTATATATAAAGGCTGCAAAAAACCAAGGCCAATTACCAAATGCCCATGATCTTTTCTTGAAGACACACTTCAAGGAAGTACCTGGAAAAGGCCAAGTGGCAACCAACAACAAAGCAAAAAGGATTGCGGAAAACACTTATTATATGAGTTGATATATGGCAAATTAGCAAAGTAGAACTCATTATATGCTTATTTGGATGATTTTGGATGAGTTAGGGTCGAAAATTGACAAATGTGCTTATTTCTCTTAATTTCTATCCTTATGCACCTAAAAGTATGTGATATTGGAATGTTAGAAGAAAGAACGAGTCCATTTGCTTGAAAGCATAGAAAATAGGCATGGTTTTAGCCATATAGCCCAAATTTGGATGATTTTGGATGAGTTAGGGTCGAAAATTGACATATGTGCTTATTTCTCTTAATTTCTATCCTTATGAACCTAAAAGTATGTGATATTGGAATGTTAGAAGAAAGAACGAGTCCATTTGCTTGAAAGCATAGAAAATAGGCATGGTTTTAGCCATATAGCCCAAATTTGGATGATTTTGGATGAGTTAGGGTCGAAAATTGACATATGTGCTTATTTCTCTTAATTTATATCCTTAGGCAGTTAAAACTATGTGATATTGGAATGTTATAAGAAAGAACGAGTCCATTTTCTTGAAAACATAGAAAATAGGCATGGTTTTAGCCATATAGCCCAAATTTGGATGATTTTGGATGAGTTAGGGTCGAAAATTGACATATATGCTTACTTCTCTTCATTTCTATCCTTAGGAACTTAAATGTATGTGATATTGGAATGTTAGAAGAAATAACGAATCCATTTCCTTGAAAAAATAGAAAATAGGCATGGTTTTAGCCATATAGCCCAAATTTGGATGATTTTGGATGAGTTAGGGTCGAAAATTGACATATGTGCTTATTTATCTTAATTTATATCCTTATGCACTTAAAATTATGTGATATTGGAATGTTAGAAGAAAGAAACCTTACACTTGGTTGAAAACATAGAAAATAGGCATGGTTTTAGCCATATAGCCCAAATTTGGATGATTTTGGATGAGTTAGGGTCGAAAATTGACGTATGTTCTTATTTCTATTAATTTCTATCCTTATGCACCTAAAAGTATGTGATATTGGAATGTTAGAAGAAAGAACGAGTCCATTTGCTTGAAAGCATAGAAAATAGGCATGGTTTTAGCCATATAGCCCAAATTTGGATGATTTTGGATGAGTTAGGGTCGAAAATTGACATATGTGCTTATTTATCTTAATTTATATCCTTATGAACTTAAAATTATGTGATATTGGAATGTTAGAAGAAAGAAACCTTACATTTGGTTGAAAACATAGAAAATAGGCATGGTTTTAGCCATATAGGCCAAATTTGGATGATTTTGGATGAGTTAGGGTCGAAATTGACATATGTGCTTATTTATATTAATTTATATACTTAGGCATTTAAAATTATGTGATATTGGAATGGTAGAAGAAAGAACGAGTCCATTTTCTTGAAAACATAGAAAATAGGCATGGTTTTAGCCATATAGCCCAAATTTGGATGATTTTGGATGAGTTAGGGTCGAAAATTGACATATATGCTTATTTCTCTTCATTTCTATCCTTAGGCAGTTAAATGTATGTGATATTGGAATGTTAGAAGAAATAACGAGTCCATTTCCTTGAAAACATAGAAAATAGGCATGGTTTTAGCCATATAGCCCAAATTTGGATGATTTTGGATGAGTTAGGGTCGAAAATTGACATATGTGCTTATTTATCTTAATTTATATCCTTATGAACTTAAAATTATGTGATATTGGAATGTTAGAAGAAAGAAACCTTACATTTGGTTGAAAACATAGAAAATAGGCATGGTTTTAGCCATATAGCCCAAATTTGGATGATTTTGGATGAGTTAGGGTCGAAAATTGACATATGTGCTTATTTCTCTTAATTTCTATCCTTAGGCACTTAAAATTATGTGATATTGGAATGTAAGAAGAAAGAACGAGTCTATTTTCTTGAAAACATAGAAAATAGGCATGGTTTTAGCCATATAGCCCAAATTTAGATGATTTTGGATGAGTTAGGGTCGAAAATTGACATATGTGCTTATTTATCTTAATTTCTATCCTTAGGAACTTAAAAGTATGTGATATTGGAATTTTAGAAGAAAGAAACCTTACATTTGGTTGAAAACATAGAAAATAGGCATGGTTTTAGCCATATAGCCCAAATTTGGATGATTTTGGATGAGTTAGGGTTGAAAATTGACATATGTGTTTATTTCTCTTAATTTTTATCCTTAGGCACTTAAATTTATGTGATATTGGAATTTTAGAAGAAATAACGAGTCCATTTGCTTGAAAATATAGAAAATAGGCATGGTTTTAGCCATATAGGCCAAATTTGGATGATTTTGGATGAGTTAGGGTCGAAAAGTGACATATGTGCTTATTTCTCTTAATTTATATCCTTAGGCACTTAAAATTTTGTGATATTGGAATGTTAGAAGAAAGAAACCTTACATTTGGTTGAAAACATAGAAAATAGGCATGGTTTTAGCCATATAGCCCAAATTTGGATGATTTTGGATGAGTTAGGGTCGAAAATTGACATATGTGCTTATTTCTATTAATTTCTATCCTTAGGTACTTAAATGTATGTGATATTGGAATGTTAGAAGAAATAACGAGTCCATTTGCTTGAAAACATAGAAAATAGGCATGGTTTTAGCCATATAGGCCAAATTTGGATGAGTGAGGGTCGAAAAGTGACATATGTTCTTATTACTCTTAATTTATATCCTTAGGCACTTAAAATTATTTGATATTGGAATATTGGAAGAAAGAAACCTTACATTTGGTCGAAAACATAGAAAATAGGCATTGTTTTAGCCATATAGCCCAAATTTTGATGATTTTGGATGAGTTAGGGTCGAAAATTGACATATGTGCTTATTTCTCTTAATTTCTATCCTTAGGCACTTAAAATTATGTGATATTGGAATGTTAGAAGGTAGAACGAGTCCATTTGCTTGAAAACATAGAAAATAGGCATGGTTTTAGCCATGTAGCCCAAATTTAGATGATTTTGGATGAGTTAGGGTCGAAAATTGACATATGTGCTTATTTTTCTTAATTTCTATCCTTAGGAACTTAAAAGTATGTGATATTGGAATGTTAGAAGAAAGAACAAGTCCATTTGCTTGAAAGCATAGAAAATAGGCATGGTTTTAGCCATATAGCCCAAATTTGGATGATTTTGGATGAGTTAGGGTCGAAAATTGACATATGTGCTTATTTCTCTTAATTTCTATCCTTAGGAAATTAAAAATATGTGATATTGGAATGTTAGAGGAAAGAACGAGTCCATTTGCTTGAAAACATAGAAAATAGGCATGGTTTTAGCCATATAGGCCAAATCTGGATGATTTTGGATGAGTTAGGGTCGATATTTGACATATGTGCTTTTTTCTCTTAATTTCTATCCTTAGGCACTTAAAATTATGTGATATTGAAATTTTAGAAGAAAGAAACCTTACATTTGGTTGAAAACATAGAAAATAGGCATGGTTTTAGCCATATAGCCCAAATTTGGATGATTTTGGATGAGTTAGGTTCGAAAATTGACATATGTGCTTATTTCTCTTAATTTCTATCCTTAGGCACTTAAACGTATGTGATATTGGAATGTTTGAAGAAAGAACGAGTCAATTTGCTTGAAAACTTAGAAAATAGGCATGGTTTTAGCCATATAGGCCAAATTTAGATGATTTTGGATGAGTTAGGGTCGAAAATTGACTTATGTGCTTATTTCTATTTATTTCTATCCTTAGGCACCTAAAAGTATGTTATATTGGAATGTTAGAAGAAAGAAACCTTACCTTATATTGTTGGTTGTTTTTTTAACAATATTTTTTATTATCTTCAATATTTTGTAGGCGACCTACCAGAAGAAGCTCGAAGAAACAAGGAGTCAGGGTATTCAGAAGAGTCCCAATGAGTTGTACTGGGAGTCGGTGGGTGGGCGCAATAAGAAGGGGCGTGTGAAGGGACTTGGCGACAGTGCAAAGCTCTACTATGGCAAATAGATGGGTCGAGGTTCCCAATCTTCACAGCAATACACGCCGTCTGTCATTTCTCAAATGCAAGACCAGATGGAACACAGGGTGCAAGCTCTTTAAACTCAAATGGAAGCCCGAATGGCTGAAATGGAGAGGAGATACAAGGAGAGTATGGAGGAGATAATGAGTCGTCTCACCAACAACGACTCATGTTCCACCATTCATCCTCAGCATCGAGACCCAAGGGACGACCCGGGTAGTGGTGGAGCAGGCCAGGGTTTCCAGGCGATTGCATAGCTTAGCTTTAGTCTAGCATATATGTATGTACATAAATATAATTTCGTACTAGGACATAATTATTATATATATATATGTACATAAATATAATTTCGTAGGTCGGTAATTAATTTTTTTAAACAACAATTTCAAGACTCAATACTTAGTTTTTTTTTTGTCGATTTATCATTAAAAAAATTCAGGTTTGAAAATGCAGAAAATTACAGAAATTTGTTTTGGGCTATTTCTCTAATTTACGACGGAATTTTCCGTCGCAACATATAATTTTCGACGGAATTTTCTGTCGTAATTTATAATATGCGACGGAAAATTCTGTCGTAATTTATCATTTACGACGGAATTTTTTGTCGCAAAACCTAATTTACGACGGAAAATTCCGTCACAAAGTATAAATTTCCGACAGAAT